AAGAAAAGTGCCTAGCGTGTGTGTGTGATGTGCTCGAGCCGCGGAAATTGCTGCTGTTAGCATCCTCATTTTACGAGTGAGAAGACGGAGCCTCACAAGTTGTGCTTACTCATCAGCCAGGAGTGGATGGAGCAGCAGAGCATGTTTAGACCAGGTTCCTGATTTCTGTCCAGGGCACTGGTCACCCCTCTGGATGGTCATCCCCTATCCCTGGAGCACACTTCAGTTGCGTTTTGTGGCATCCCCCCACCCACCTTGTTTTTTATCTTCTCCCACTTTGGGAACCCACTGGCTTCCCCCTTTATCCCATAGCAGGTGTCCGAATGCTAGGTGCTGAGAGAATGCTGGGTTCGAGAGAAGAGAGGGTGTTAATGTAAAATCGATAACTGATAGATCCTCCTGACCCATTAGTAAATCCCTGTGTGGAGGGCTTCGATCACTTCCTCTACTTCAGGTTGAGAGTTTCGAATTCCTCTCTAGCCCTAAAAATCAAAACAGGCAGATTATGTAGACAGTAAGTCTTCTCCTGGTCTGCAGTCTTGCCAGTCTGTGAGCTGTCCCAAGTTTATCTGTGGGGATCTCAGAGAGAGAGAGAGAGAGAGAGAGAGAGAGAGAGATTCTTCCTTCACTTATTCAGCAGATAGGTAAAGGGGCTGCTCTCCTGGATCTTACATTCCAAGACTTGTCAACTATGACTCTAGTCTAGTCTGTAGTTGGGGACGTAGCCCATCTAAGAATACCATGGATCTTCCCAGTGTGGGAGCGGGCGGGGTTCAGAACAGGACTCTCATTTTCCTCGCTTTCTTCGTATCTGATAAAACCTTAAGGTAGATGTACAGATAGAAATTCAGTAATTGGAAAGCCAGGTGCTTCACTGTGAGGGAGACATGACGGTTGCAGGATTCTGGGGATGGCAGTATACTGTTTGTTTGCCAAAAGAACTCAAAAGATGTGTATGTGGATTTTTTCCCGCTGTCACAAAATGCTAAGAAGACAAATTTGCAGGGGCGCCTGGGTGGCGCAGTCGGTTAAGCGTCCGACTTCAGCCAGGTCACGATCTCACGGTCCGTGAGTTCGAGCCCCGCGTCGGGCTCTGGGCTCATGGCTCGGAGCCTGGAGCCTGTTTCCGATTCTGTGCCTCCCTCTCTCTCTGCCCCTCCCCCGTTCATGCTCCGTCTCTCTCTGTCCCAAAAATAAATAAACGTTGAAAAAAAAATTAAAAAAAAAAAAGACAAATTTGCAATAAAAATACACAACGTGAAGAAAAAAGAATAGAACAGGGTTAAAGATGACAATGTGAGGCTTGGCTACTATGTTTCCTTTCTCGGGAACAGAGATTTGAGAATAGCGGGAGGAGCTGGCTGTATTTCTTCTCTTTTTCTTCAGAAGAAGGGAGTTCATCGAAGATGATGAATTTGGTTTTAAATTTTTTTTACGTTTTCATTTATTTTTGAGACAGAGACAGAGTACAAGCAGGGGAGGGGCAGAGAGAGGAGAGACAGAATCCGAAGCAGGCTCCAGGCTCTGAGCCGTCAGCCCAGAGCCCGATGCGGGGCTCGAACTCACGGACTGTGAGATCACGACCTGAGCGGAAGTCGGACGCTTAACCGACTGAGCCACCCAGGCACCCCAATGATGAATTTGGTTTTAAACGTATTTATTATGAGGCGACCCTGGGACGTTTATATTTGGCCTGAAATCTGTTAAGAGTTTTATTTTTTTTATGTTCTGTTTTGCCTGAAATCAAGGTAAAAGTAAGGCAGGGCTCCCCCTCCCTCAGGGGAGCCTTGGGGAACAGGGCTTCCTCCCCTTCTTCAGGCCTGTGGCAGTTACAGTGTGGACAGAAAACCCGAAATGTCCCTGAGTGGAGGCTGTCACCTGGGTCTTCCATCAGGACGAGTGATGGGAAGGCAGATCACACCTGCTGTGGAATTGGGGGGTGGGCGGGACATAGAAAACGGCTGAGCGTCTGCGGAGAGAGTGAGGGCCTCAGTCCCAGCAGCCCCATCGTGTGCAGACCGTGTCTGGGAGCAAGTGCTGGCTGGACCTTCCTTCCTGGGCAGGCCTGACGACCCAGCCTTCCTGGGGGCGGTCTGATGCCCTTGCAGTAACTTCACCTCGGCTCAGCGTAGGCAGAATCGGTTTTTGTCGCTTGTGTCCATAAACACTGACTACACATAATCCCACGAAGGGGTCCATGAAGTACTCGAAGGATTATTGTTCCAAAGAGACGTTGGTTGGAGCTGGATTTTCCTTCCCATCACTTCTAAATGAATAAAAATGAGTTACAGTAGTGTGCCCATGCTGAGTAAGACGAATGAAATAGTATGCTTATCTTATTGAGCTACTAAGCACCATGTCTACTTGATTGTTTAATAAACATGCCACAATTCTTGATCTCGTCCCCAAATCTGCCTCTGTCCTCGTCATTCTCATCTCAGGGGGGAAGAAAAAGAAAAGAAAAGGCGTTCCTGTTTCCATCCAGTTCCTCAAGCCAAAATCCTAAAGGCCATTCTTAAATCCTTGTTTGAGGTCATTCCCTACTTCCCATCTACACACGGGCTCCCTTGAAGGGATCGCAGAGGTACCGTGACTGGCCCCTTTGCCTCTGTTTCAGCCACCCAAATCGAAGTCACCATGATATCTTCACTCTTATATCACTTTTCTTGCTCCGATTCTGGCCCCTTGAAATCTTCTCTCCACAAAGCATCCTGAGGGATTGTTCTGAATTGTACATCAAATCATATCATTTCCTCATTTGAAGGTCCTCCAGTGGCTTCACCTCAAACTTAAACCAAGCATCGGAACTCCTGACCAGGGCCTACCGGGCCCTACACAGTACTTCCCTTGCCTGCCACGAGTGCGTGCCCTCCCTTTGCTCACACACTCGGCCATCGCTGATCTCCCCCCAGGCAGGCCTAGCTCTCCCTGTGTTGGCATTACCCTTGCTGTTTCCTAGAATGCTCTTCCTCTGTGTTGACAGAGCAGGCTTCTTCCTGACCTCGAAGGCACCACTCAAAGGCTGCTGCTTCACAGAGCCCCTTCCTCCTGTACAGCCCTGTGACCCCTGTGACAGCCCCATGTTCTTTCTTCAGTCATACTCAGTGGCGTTTGTCACTGTGTAAAGTTGTCTGCTTTATATCTGCAATTGTGTAGTGCCCAACTTCCCCTAGAATATCAGCGACATGAGAGCAGAGATCTTGTCATTGTATTTTCCGTTGTGATTCCAGTGCCTAGAAAGATAATTAGCACTTAATAGATACTTGATAAATACTTGTTGAACAAATTAATGAAATAATTAAAGACAAGCCACCTAAGCATTTTAAGCCTTAGTTTGCCTCATGAGAAGCCCTCCTCATAGGGTGTCGTGAAAATTAAGTAAAACACTGAACGGAATGTACTTAGCACAGTGCTTGATATATAGTAAGTGCTCCATAAATATTACTAGTTATTTTTTTATTGTTGGGTTAGCACTATATACATTTTTGTCAACACGTGAGCATATGTTATTTATTTTTGTCTTTTGCATAGGTACCAGTGTAGCAGAATGTTTAGTTAAATAAAATTAAGATTGTATTTTAGCTTTCAAGATACCTGTGGTAGGTTTCATAGGCCATTATCAGAATCAGGAGCATTTTCAAACTCTTCCCTCCTTCTCCTAGGAGAGTGTATCTGGTTCTCTTGGTGGAAATAGACATACATTTAAAATTTTTAAATGTTTAAAAAATGTTTAAAAAATTTTTAAATGTTTAAAATTTTTCCCTGGGTGATTATCACCTAGAGAGAAGAAAAGAACATATAAGACACTAGAATAATTTATCCAAGATCCAAACCACTTATAGATACAAGGAGACTTCCTAAAAACAGAGGGGCAGGATGGGCATTTAGTTGGAGGGGTTCATTATGTATTGGAAGCCTGAGATTCAGAGGTTGCCCAGTTGTTCTGAAGATGGAAAGCTGAAGCCTAGGCAGAGGATTATACTGACTTAATGTTGATTTAACAATTAGTGACCTAGATTTTCTTTGCATGAATAACAGAAATGATCCCCACATGGGACCTGAGAGACCAACCAGGAGTCCAGGGGTCACCGATAGAAGGGAAGTGAGATAGATGGGTCATTATCCAAGTTGGCATCTGGTCTCCTTTCCTGTCAGAAACAGGATTGACTACAGATAAATATATGTATTGCTTAGCATATCAAGTGTACGTCTGGGCTTGGAGACAGGAACATGGGGGAATCTCCTTCCTTTGGAGGCCAACAGGAAATGAAATGAAGGAAATGAAATGGCCTATGGTGACCCTGAGCCTGAAGGATCACTTTAGGAAGCAGATCTGCTCCATCTGTCCATCAGTCTTTCTCTGTCCTACCTCTGACACCAACCCTCCTATGATGTCTTAAGCATTTCTCCCCTGGGGCTGATTGTTCTACAGATACGCACAGGCTCTGCCCTTGGACCGTATACAGACAGAATCCTTCAGTGATCATTGCACAGTCGCAAAGATTTCATCAGGTTGTGTTCTGAACATCTAGTGCAAAGACATATTTTCTATCAGAATAGACTTAAATTATGTCTCAGAGATAAAATATTTCATACACTAGGGACACCTGGTGGCTTAGGTGGTTAAGTGTCCAACTCTTGATTTCAGTTCAGGTCATGATCTCACAGTTTGTGAGTTTGAGCCGCACGTTGGGCTCCTTGTTGATAGCAAAGAACCTGCTTGAGATTTTTTCTCTCTCCTTCTCACTCTTTCTGCCCCTCCCCCACTTGCGGCCTCTCCTCTGTCTCTCTCTCTCTCTTTCTCTTTCTCTCTTTCTCAAAATAAATAAATAAACCTTAATAGAAACAAAAATATTCACAATGTATGTTTAATTCTACATATATACATATGTAAACATAACAGTTAAGTTTTTAGAGTTGTATATTCTGTAGCCTGTGACTTTAATTAAAGTATGTTCTAATGGATGTTCTAAGAATGTGCTTTTCTTTTAATATTTTAGTGCTGCCAACTGTCCCTATTCAGAAATCAATTTGAATAAAGACCGAATTTTCCCAGACCGCTTAAGTGGTGAGATGCCTCCGGCTAGTCCATCATTTCCAAGAAATAAAAGGGCAGACACAAATGAAATCTCTTCATCTCCTGAAATCAGGTAATTAAAGTGATAATATTAGTGATGTTTAGAAGTACTCTGGTTGAAAGAGGTTTTTCTATCTCAGATGCTGTGTATTCTGTGGTTATCTTTTCTTGGGCATTATTGAAAATGCATTTCATTTCATGTAAAATGGTGGAGATAAGTGGTTGGACTTAAAAAAAATGGAGAGTTGATACAAGCATATGTAAATCAGACAGGCTTTCTTATTTATTCATCTTTTAGTCACACTTTGGGGGTGTTAGAAGTTTAGAAATTCCAGTCATTTTACTTCATGCCAGTTCATGTTTCTGAATGAACCGATCGGTATATAGAGCCATCCTTTATGAGGAAGATGTCCGATTTTTTGTGAAAAATGGGTGTTCTTTTTCATGCCCATGCCAAGTACTCGCATATATGTTATTGCTTTTAATTATTAAGATGTTAATTGTAGTACAGTTGACCCTTGAATGACATGGGGCACTGACCCCTTCCCCCACACAGTTGAAAATCCAAGTATAACCTGTGAGTCCCAAAGAAACTGAACTACTAATAGCCTACTGTTTACTGTTGACCGAAAGCCTAGCCAGTTATGTAAGCAGTTCATTAACACGTATTTCATATGTTATATGTATCATATATGGTATGCTTATAATAAACTAAGCTAGAGAAAAGAAAATGTCAATAAGAAAATCATAAATAAGAGAAAATACATTTATAGTAGTGTATGTATATTTATTGTAAAAAAAAAAAATGTATAAGTGGACCTGCTTAGTTCAAACCCATGTTGTTAAAGGGTCAACTGTATAAGCTCAGGCATTTAGTTTTGATTTCACTTGTAGAGTTGAGTTTGTATGTTTTAAGCTCTAAGTAAGGTCTGTGCCTTTACATTAACTGAGGACACTACTTAAAAAAAACAAAGCAGATTAGTGAAAAGATATGCCTTAGTACTTAGGTTTTGGAAGTTTCTTTTATGGAGTATTTTAAAACCTAAGGCTATGTAGTTTTTTATTGAAATAGTTTGTAACTTCCATTCTTATAGATGATAGATATAGGTGGACATTTTAATTAATAAATCTGATTCTAAATTCACAGCAGTGCTGTTGGAGTAATGGCATTTGAAGTCTCAGTATTCTTAGAGAAAGCAATTTTATCCTCTGGATGGCGGGGGGGGGGAGCTAATTAATTAATAACAAGAAGAGGATTTTTTGTTTTTACCCTTAAATCCATGATTAATGAAACATAAACTCATTTTACCCAACCCCGCACTCCAAAGTGAGATCATATCATATATAAGGAACTTTAAGACAAATAAAGTACGAATTCATATAGTAACAATTACAGATACAGAGTTCATTGATTCTGACTCACAAGGTGGTGAAAGTACCTAGTGTTTAGATTTCAGAAGCCAAGGTAATGTTTAAAATATCAGCAGAATACTCCGAAGTGCCCGCAGGCCTAGCTCACAGGCTTTTCGCTGACCGACTGGGCTCCAGGCCAGATTCCGAGGACCAGAGTCTCCTCCCAGCAGAATCTTCCTGGGCTGGTTTTCTGGGGTCTTTTTCTAACTCAGAAGTCACGTCAAAACCATCAAAGTGGATCTGACCATTCCAGTGACCTGTCTTGTGTGAGGTGCGCTCATGGTTCTTCATGGAATCACCTGAGGCGTTTTTAGTTTTCTGTATATAACCTATGACATGTTTCGTATCTAAATACTCTTCCATGTCATGGATTTTTAACCCATACTGTCTTTTGAGTCTGCGAATTCTGACCTGCCATTACTTTGTGTGAATGAACACTTACACTTACGTGTCTTCAGATTAATTTCTTTAGGTTGTCTGCTTTCGTTGTTGGGTGCCAGGCTGTGGTAAATGAGTGTTCCGTTACTCATGATTTTAGAGACTTTGTTCAGATTTCTTCATGTCTTTCTCCTCCCAGATTTACTATTTTTATTTTATTTTTTTCATAAGTAGAAGTGACCTGAGAGATTGGATTAGTTACATGCAGTCAAAGGAAACGTGAGGGACACAATCAAAATGGCCCCTTAGGTTTTGAGGTGAACATTTTTGACCAAGATTTTCTTCTCACTGTATTTTTTATGCAGAAGTGTTTTTAAGAGATGCTTGCAGACATTTTGATATTTCAACCTAAATGCTTCATTATGCATGTTTGAAAAAACAACATGTTTCAAAATAACACAGATTTATTTACTTGTTTAAATTTTTAAATTTCTTCTTTAAAATTCTTGAAAAAATTGGCTTCAGATTATTTTGGTTTTTCCTACTGCAGGCAGTCACTAGTTCTCCCAGCAATCAGAATGGCACTTGGTATTTTAGATACAAATGGTCATGAGACGGCAACATATAGTAGGTGTTAATAAAAGAAAAGTTGTTAACAAAAAGTATATCTCGTGGCTTGAGGGTGGTTGATTTAAGGTAGAATTAACAGGGTAAAAGTTAGCTGGCTTCTTGGCTGTAAGTGAATCTGTATGAACATATTTAATATATTTTTTTCATTTTAAAAGTAAATATAAAGTTTTTGGATTGTGATTTCTTTAACCTGGATTTAGGGATGAAACAGTGAGCTGTGCAATGCTAAGAACTAGTAAGTAGTTCTAGTAAGTACTAGTAAGTATTAGTAAGTAGTAAGCCCTCAGTAAATGTTAGTTTGTATTCATGTTGCAAGAAGAATAGGTTACTTACTTGCTGCACGGTATAAGAACTGTAAAAGAGTAAAAGAAAGGCTGGCCATTTCTTTGACATTCCTAGGTTAAACTTTGAATATGGCATTCAAGACGATTCTCTTAATACCAGATTATGTTCTCTCTTCTTTTCCCATATTTGTCGCTCACATGGATGGAACTTTTTATTCAGGTTTTAACACATTTTCTTTGCATCCTTTGTAATAATTCACTAAATTTTGTAGCCAGACTGCACTGTATTTTTTCTTTTAAGTGCACTTTTAAATGCACTCCCAGCGGGAGACCGTTTGCATGCCTAGAAGATGACCCTGAGACAAAGATTCGGTTGCATGTGGTTTATTTGGGAGGTGAGGCAGACATCAGGAGGGGAGTGAGGAAGTGAGATGGAGAAAGGAAGACGGGCAGTGAAAGCCTTGTCGTGTTACCGATGACGGCTTGGAGACAGCAGGAACGCGGGCCTGCTGCGAACACTCTGGGCGTCCGTGTAAAGCACACATCGAGTCTTCCCAGCATAGGGATGGAGGAGCTGAGCTATTTAAGCCCTGGTTACCTCCAGCCGCAGAGTGAGGCTGCCGGGGGAGGGAGCACACGGCGATTCCCCCAGCACGACTGTCCTGACAACATCTGCTCCGCCATTCCATTCACCCGTTTCGGATGCCAGAGGGTCACCAGAATGAGTGCTCTGCTGGCATTGCTTTTGATCTGGAAGCTGACATAACAAGGCCAGATAAATTAATAATGTGAGGAACATGTGTTCCTTTCGTGCAATAACCTTTATTATTTATTTATTTATTTATTTATTTATTTATTTAGGGGTGAGTGCAAGTGGGGGTGGGAGAGAGGATCTGCAGCAGGCTCTTGGCTGACAGGCTGACAGCAGTGAACCCAATGTGGGGCTCGAACTCATGAACTGCAAGATCATGACCTGAGCCAAAGTTGGACACTCAACCCCCTGAGCCACCCAGGTGCCCCATAACTGTTCTTTTAAGGGCTATTTCACAGGCTGTCTGCTCAGGCTGGGCCCATAGATGACTCGTTCCACAGCAGTAGCTTCTAGACTTTGCATCAGATTCCCAGAGACCTCCTCAGAATTCAGATTTGGGAGCCCAGGTCAGCCCATGAAGAATCTTCCGGGCTAGAGCCTAAGAGTCTGCGTTTAAAACAATTCTTTGGAAGTCTGTCTCCCTGCTTGACACTTTCAGTGACTTCCCATTACTCCTGAAATTGAGACCCTAATTCTGAACGTGGCCTGCAAGGTCCTGTGTTGTCTGGCCCGTGCCCAGCTCTCCAGCCTTCTCTCTGCCAGGCTCCTTTTTAAACTTAACGCTTCAACCACCTTGGTTCTCAGACATCCTTTCTCTCTGCCTAGAGTCTCCGTGCCTGCCATCTCCTAGCTGGTCTCTCGTTTTGCAGGCTTCAGGTTCACTGTCATTTCCTCGGGGAAGCTTTGTCTGCTCTTCTAGAGTAGTTCACGTTCCTCATCACATACCTTCACAGCACACATCCCGATGTTGTAGACAGTTTGTGTCAATACTTCTGAGTCTGCGTGCTTTGCTTGACAGTAAGCTCCACAAGGGCAGAGTCCACGTCTTCTCTGGTCCTGAGATATCCTCAGCACCAAGCACACCACCTGGCACACAGTAAGGATGCAGGGTGACCTTGAATCATCCACCAGCCTTCAAAGGAGACTTATCAGTTTTATGACCTAAAAGGCAATAGCTGTGTAATGTTTTTTGTTCTGGTGAAACACTTGCATTCTCAACTTTGTTAGATTCCCGCACCAGATTTCTGTGGGCTGATTATTAAATGATGAGATGAATCCCCCAAATACATACTGGCACTCTTTTACGAATGAGGCAGTGCTTCCAACACTGTTGTCGTTTTAACTCCTGCCTCGTGTAGAAAATACCACAGAAGTGACGACACTTTTGTATGGCGCACCAAGGGAGTGAACGGGGCTGCCTCTGGATGACCAGATGGTGGCCTTGGCTTTTGGGAGGGCTACAGGGAACTTGTAGAACTCAGAGCACTTGTTCTCAGGGATTCACGGTATCCGAGCTGGGAAGCTCTGCCCCACATTAAGATGGCATCACCTTGAGTCCTTTTGTAGGCACGCTGAATATTTAGGCCCATTTTCCTGTAGCAGTTCGTCAAATGGATGGTTGGGTTATGAGTGCATTCCCAGCGTGGGGAGTCTGCAGTCCTTTTCAGTTGTATGTTGGTTCATCAGAAGTGTGAGGAGTGTGTTGTGTCTCGTGTTTTCAGTGGGAAGAGGTTTTCCTCGCTGCGGGGGCCAGGGGGTGGGCAGCACCTCATCTCT